CAGGACATGCATTGCAAAAAAAAACCCCTGTTTTTCCAACGAACTTCAGAGTAGTAAGTTTGGATATTGTTTTTCAAAAAATGAATTAAGCCCTCAAGCATCTAAGAGGGAGTTTCACTTTGAAACTGGGGGGACGTGGGACTGGAATTGAAATAAGAATGAATTATTTTAAATTATTCAGTCTATGTGTCAGGCATGCAGAAGAGATTATGTTTTTTTTCTTTGGGGAGAGAAAGTAACGCTGTGCATGAGTCATCAATAAACAGAGCCTGCTTATTGTCAATAAATTCATTTTTGCCTGGCATTGGAAACAGTTGCTTTGTTACAGTGTAAGCTTTTCTTCAACAGCCTGCAGCCTCCAGATATGTTGGAATGCAATCCTCATGACCCCGAGACAGTAAATCATTGACGGTGTTGGTAGAGATAAATGGAAGTTTTAGTCCAACATGACTTCTGACTTCCGAGCTGCCAAAGTCTGCATTATAATAATCTTGAGAATTTGCGCAATATTCCACCATCTTCATAATACTTATAGGGAAAATTTGAATCTGACTGGTTTACATTTTAAAAGGTGAACACTGAAGCTATTAAGTTCTCCTGGGTTTCATCTTGCATCCATATGCACAAGCTGTGCTGGTCAGTAGGCCAGCTTTTTACCAGCTTCATCTGGAATTCCAACAGCATAGCCTCCTGAAAAAACCAAACATAGTCTTGATAATGGATTCTTCCCTCACTTGCAGGCCAGACTACTGCTGTGCCCTTGAAGACAGTCTAGTTTCAGCCAGTCCAGAATAAGCAAACCTGAACTCTCTCTGGCTACAAAGGGTTCACAAAGGAAGAAACCTATTAGTAAACAAAAAAATCTTCAAGGTGATAAAAGTCTAGCTCAAATAAGAAAACAAAGCACAACCTTTGGCAAAAAAAAAAAACAGTCATAAGGGATGAAAGAAAGGATGAAAGAAAGAAATGAACTTATGGGACATGGCATTACAAATATTAATCCAATAATATTAATCTCCAAATGCATTTCCCAACACTCAAACCATTACATCATGCTGACTCCCTTATAAGTAATTATAGTATCAAAACTTGAAACCAATTAAAAACATCAACCACAAAAAGAAAAAAAAAGCAGAAAAGTCCAGGACATTATACCAGGCTTCTATACAATCAGTCCTCAATGGCATGTTGACACCAAACTTGCTTGCAGAAAGATTGTAAGGGGTATCTCAGTTAAGTAAATTCCAGCACCTGAGGGCAACCACAGAGAAGGCCCTCTTGCATGTTCCCTCCGGAGATACCTGCAAGGATGGTGGGACAGGCAGATAGACTTTCCAGAAAACCTCAAACATAGACAGGTTTGTATGCAAGAATATAATCCTTTAAATAACCGTAAATTGAGTCACATAAGAGTTTACTGGTCCTATCCTAAACTTTGAATTATGCCTGGAAATGCATAATTTCCAGGTAGTCATTGAAGCTGTTGCAACAAAGGAGTGTCATGTTTCCTGTAGTTTTCTGTGGTTAACAATATGGCTGCAACTTTTCACTCACTGAAATTTCCAAATATTCCCCAAAGGCAGTTGCACGTAGAGAGTATTACAATAATCGGAATGGGTAAAGTGTGTGTACCTGTGGCCAGATCCAACATCTCTAGGAATAGTTGCAGGTGGTACAGAAATTTTAATTTTTGCAAAATTTTGGCTACTGCCCAGACCTGAGCTTCTAGATTCAGGGTTGAGTCCAGGAGTGTACTCATACTTCAGGCTTGTGTCTTCAACAGATATGTGTGTAACCCTATCCAAAAAAGGCTGAACCCATATTCTTGTACTGAACAAGAGCACCTCTGCCTTGTCTGGATGAGAATTCAAGTTTGTTTGCCCTTATCCAATCTATTACTGACGACAGGCAAAATATTAGGACTGAAAGAGCTTCCCGGCAAAGAAGAAAAGAAGAAATGTGGTTAAGCATCATGTGCATACTGACAACACCAGGCCCCAAAACCCCAAATGGCCTCTCCAAGTAGTTTAATATAAATGTTAAATAGTTATGGGGGGCACATCCAAACCACGAGGGACCTCGGGTCAGCAACCAAGAGGTCAAACAGAAAGATCTTACTATTACCTTCTGGATTTGCCTCCTTCCTGGAAGAATAAACCTGCTGTAAAACAGCACTTCCATGTCTCATCCCTGAAAGATTCCCTTGAAATATATCTACGGAAAGTTGTTAAAATGTCCAGCAGAGCCAACAGGGATACACTCCACCTGTCTAGTTCCTGGCATAGGTCACCAGTCAAGACAACCCAAACCATCTCTGATTCACACCCAGGCTTTAAATGAGATTGAAATAGAGCTAATCTATTAACTCATCTAATCTAGAAATAATTGTAGCTGGGAAATAATGGTGTAATTTTAAATACTGGTGTTATTGACAACTCTGCCTTGTTTTAGAGAGGCATCACCAACTCCCTGTGCCCACTCTTCCAGGAAGGGCAAATATCTAATTTGAATGCTGTTTTCCTGCTTCTTTGCAGGGGGTTGGAGTGGATGGCCCATGAGGTCTCTTCCAACTCTATGATTCTATGGTGGCTGTCCTCCAAGAATGCTGTTGAAATCCTTAGGTAGCAAAAATCGATTAATAGTAATAGATTCCTGGTTACTTGAAAGAGTTCCACTCGTTGAGTTTTGAGTAGGTGTAATAGTGGCAAATATTATTAAAGTCTCCCCCCCCCCCCCCCCCCGGCGTATTGCTTCACAGTAGGTCTGCAAAACATTCTAGCCTGAAGCGTCAGACTGGTATAATGGTTTGAGTGTTGGACTACAGTTTTGGAGATCAGGGTTCAAATCGTTGCTCAGCCATGGAAACCCAGTAGGTGACCTTGGACATGCCATTCTTTCAGCCTTCAAGACAAACTTTTTTCCCATGTCAGGAGTGACTTGAGAAACTGCAGGTTGCTTCTGGTGTGAGAGAATTGGCTATCTGCAAGGACTTTGCCCAGGGGATGCCCGGACGTTTTACCATCCTGTAGGAGGCTTCTCTCATGACCCCACATAGGAAGCTGGAGCTGACAGATGGGACCTCACCCTGCTCACTGGATTCAAACCCGCCAATCTTTTGGTCAGCAGTCCTGCCGGCACAAAGGTTTAACCCATTGTACCTAAGGCAAACATATCTTGCCACAAAAAAAAATCTCACCTTAGAGTTGCCATAATTTGGAAAACAAAGGGACCCAACATCAGCAAGAATTGCAGAAACATTCCAGTTTGAATTTGATCAACCCCACACTTAGTGTTCTGTCAACATCGGTTTATTCACCATCTCTCGTTGCCACCAGCTCTTTGGAAAACCAGTGGACTGATTAACTTCAAAACATGGCATATTGGGAAGAGATCATCTTCATTCTGGTACTTTTCGTTTTCCAAAATTGAGGAAGGATCACCTGCTCTGTCCAAGCGAAAATCTTATTGAATTGAAATACTTCCAGTTAGGCAAAGGATAAAGAGGAAAAGGGTGGAGTTTAAACAGCCTTTGTATAAAAAGGTTGTTACTTGAGGTATGAATATACAAGAGTTGAATAAAAAGTAATGCCCTCGCCTTTGTAACTCCAACAGATGGCAGTACTGGTATGCGGTAGGTACTGGCTTGTTCAGTAGACTCCTCTACAGTTCCATTTAGGCAGGAAGCCTTAGCATTGAACAGTTGTGTTCAATGCGAAGTGCGAAGTATGGAAACCTGCACAGACAGTCGGTCAACGCAGCTTAAGCAATGTGCAGTCATTGAATTCTTGACAACAGAAGGTGTCACCCCAAAGGAGATTCATCAGATAATGCAAGCTGTTTATGGTGATTGCGTTGATGTATGTGCATCGTTGGGATGACACCTTCTGCTGTCAAGAATTCAATGACTGCGCATTGCATAAGTCTCATTGACCGACTGTCTATGCAGGGTTCCATACTTTGCCCTTTAACAATGCAACCATTCAATGCTAAGGCTTCCCGCCAAAATGGAACTGTAGAGGAGAGTCTACTGAATGAGCTAGTACCTGCCGCACACCAGTACTGCCATTTGTTGAGGAGTTCTGAAGGTGGAGGCATAACTTTTCATTCAACCCTCATATGTATAGCAGGCGTGGGCAAACTTGGGCCCGCCAGTGTTTTGTATTTCAACTCCCACCATTTCTAATAGCCTCAGGCCCCTTCCTTAAGCAGCTGGGGGGGGGGGGGGAAGGGGCCTGAGGCTGTTAGGAATGGTGGGAGTTGTCGTCCAAAACACCTGGAGGGCCCAAGTTTGCGCATGTCTGAGGCATAGCATTGAAGCCTGGTCTAGAAATGCAGCAGAATGCGGTAGAGCAGCCTGTAAGTGTTGTATGCTAAGCTAGCTCCCCAAGCCCACATGCTCTAATAGCTAAACCCTCTGGGAATGGAAACCAGCCCCCTCCCCTCTCCCTGGAGTGTGTGCGTGGTGTCCCCCTCCTCTCCCTTTCCCTGGTTCCAGCCCCTGCTCTCTCGGGTGGGAGAAAAAAAGGAGGAGCGAAGGCTCTTTGCGCGTCACAATCTGATCGCCTCTCGCGGCCAATCGGCTGCTTCCCCTTTAAAAAATCGAAGTGGAAGCTGAAGGCTCCCCCCTCCCTCTCCAAATACACGTTCCATCAGGTCGGGCTTAGCAGCCGGGGGGGGGCCGAGGGCACTCCAAGGAAAGACCCACCGCGGCTCCAAAGCCGGCGCAAAAGGAGGTAGGGACTCTCACATCTTTATTTGGGGGGGGGGGGGGCATTCCCAGTATGGTTTCTTCATGCTTTCCCAGAGAGGGGAAGATGTAACGTGACACCTGGCTGGGGGTAACCTAGCCAGGGCGGGAAAAGCACAGCCCTAGTCCTGGAATCCAGCCTTGGAGGAGGAAGGGGGGCATTAAAGACTTGCTTCATTGCCCTCTCGTGAAGCCTTTCCCTCTCCTCATTGCGTGGGAGCCAAATGCAGTGATCCACGGGCGGGAGGAGGGAGGGGAGGACTAAGGAGGAGGAGGAGCGGGATGACTTCAGTGGAGCGCGGTGGGTTTGGGCTCAGCGGCTGCAGCTGGATGCTGGGGAAAGGGCAGGCAGAGCAGTGTAAAACCGCAGCCGGAGGAGGAGGAGAAGGAGGGTTGCATTCTCTGAAGCCCATTTTCCCCCTTCGTTTTGGGGAAACGAACGCAACGCCGTGACCCTCCCCTCGGGGAAGGTGAGTGGGCTTTGCAAAGACGGACGAAGCCGAAGGAAGGCAGGGACCCCGTCTACATTGCCATGCACTGCAGTTTGAAACACTCTCAGCGCTGGCTCCTATAATGCGGTTCAAACTGGCCATATTCCAAGTTGGATTATAATGGCAGCGGAGCCAGATGGGAGCCAGGGAAGGCTGGATGTGGGAGCGCAGGCCCGCAACACGTGTCAAGCCCGCGGGGGCGCGAGCACGTCGGAATGGTTCTCTCGCGGGCGGGGAGAGGAGGGAAGGAAGGAAGGAAGGAAGGAAGGAGGGGAGAAAGGAAGGCTGCGGTTGGCCGCTTCCCTTCTGGGTGGGAAGCCAAGCTGGGAGAGAGGGAGAAGGGGGGGGGGGGGGGGGGGGGGTTGCCCAGCTGTCGCCCTTTTCCTCCCGCCTCCCTTCCCCGTTGGCTCTTGTCAGGGACAGCAGGAGGTCGCCAAAGCCTTGCTCTCCGAGGAGCAACGCACCCCTGGCTCTGCGGATGCTTTCTCCTCCTCCCCTTCCCTGCCCGACGTGGGTCTGCCCCCCCCCCCACTCCTCCTCCTGCTCTGGGGGACAGCGCTTGTTTGCTCTGCTGCCTAAAAATAGCCCAGAGTCTGCAGAGAGGGAGGGAAGAAGTGGGCTGCGGGTCTCCTTCCTTCCTTCCTTGCCTGCCTTGAGAGGGGAGGGAGCTGCCGATCTGGCCTCAAGGCACACTGACCCTGGCTCTTTTTCCTCCCCTTTTTCTAGCCAACCCAAAGCCCTGAGTGGGTTTCCATGGTGCTCCTGTGGGATGGCATCCAAGGCAGGAGCCAACTGCAGCCAAAAGGACTAAAGGGTGGCTGCGCTTAAAAGATGGGACCTGGGACTGTTCCACTTCAGTTCACTTGAAGGTAGGCAAACCAAGGTCAGGCTTGAGCCTTGGACTCTGGAGATGAGCATGGGAAGCCATTGGGTGACCTTGGCCAAGTCACACAGGCTTAGCCTCAGAAAACCCAGTGAGAGGTTCTTCTGTCTGAGGGACAACAGTAACCAAGGAATGGGCTAACTCTAGCATGGGCAAACTTGGGCCCTCCAGGTGTTTTGGATTTCCCACCATTCCTAACAGCCCCGGGCCCTTTCCTTTCCCCCCTCAGCCCCTTATGCCAGTAGGATATATGAATAGTAGGCGTGGACAAACTTGCTAAGCCTCTGACATGAGCAAACTTGGGCCCTCCAGGTGTTTTGGACTTCAACTCCCACAATTCCTAACAGCCTCAGGCCCCTTCCTTTCCCCCCTATGCTGCTTAAGTGGCTGAGGGGGGAAAGGAAGGGGCCTAAGGCTGTTAGGAATTGTGGGAGTTGAGTTCCAAAACACCTGGAGGGCCCAAGCTTGCCCACATCTGCTATACATATATACTACCAGCTGTTAGGAATTGTGGGAGTTGATGTCCAAAACACTTGGAGGACCCAAGCTTGCCCACAGCAGCTATACATATACTACTGATTGTTAGGAATTGTGGGAGTTGATGTCCTAAACACCTGGGAGGGCTCAAGCTTGCCCACACCTGCTATATATCTATACTACCAGCTGTTAGGAATTGTGGGAGATGATGTCCAAAACACCTGGAGGGCTCAAGCTTACCCACGCCTGCTATACATATATACTACCGGCTGTTACAAATTTTGGGGGTTGAAGCCCAAAATACCTGGAGATCTCAAGTTTGCCCATACCTGGGCTAAATGTTATATCAGGTTCCTCAAAATCCTGTGAAAGGTTTGCCTTAGGTACATCAATATCCAAACTCTGAGCTATGACAGGCGCAAGTCATAGAATCCTAGAGTTGGAAGTGCCCACATAGGCTATCCAATCCAACCCACTGCCATGCAGGTCAAGGGGCATGGGAGGGGGTGGCCTTGGCTACCTTTGCCCCTTGACTACATAGAATCCTAGAGTCAGAAGAGACCTTGTGGGCCATCCAGTCCAACCCCCTGCCAAGAAGCAGGAAATTCACATTCAAAGAACCCCTGACAGATGGCCATTCAGCCTCTGCTTAAAAGCCTCCAAAGAAAGAGCCCCCACCACACTCGGGGAAGAGGGTGCCACTGCTGAACAGGTTTCACAGTCAGGAAGTTCTTCCTAATGTTCAGGTGGAATCTCCTTTCCTGTAGTTTGAAGCCATTGTTCCGTGTCCTAGTCTCCAGGGCAGCAGAAAACCAGTGGACTTCCCTCACTTCCCCTCCATCCTTTTCTGTTTCCAGTCTGAAAGTTCCTATTAATGACACTGTATTTTCACTACACCCCCTCCAAAAGGACAGCATATTTGCCTTTGCTTCCTACATAATACATGATAGTTGAAAAATGTCATAGCAGCTGTGCCAGTCATGTGAAAGTTCATGGTGGATATGGATGCTAGAAGCTGTTTGAGGAATGCATTCCAGAACTTGGATCTGAGACTTGTGGCGCAGTTGGATAGTTTTAGACTCTGGACCTAATGAGAGTGGGTTGTTGTTGCTTTTTGGGGTGGGTGTGGGGCAGTCTTTGGGTGGTAATATCTATTTCTTGAAAATGTGATAAACATTCTGCTCAGAGGGGCTTCCTCTCTGTTACTACTGAAAACAAACACCAACTAGGAAACAGCATATGGGCGAGGAGTCCAAACAAAGGAGAGAATATGATAATAAATAATAATACAAAAAACACACAAACCAGCCAGTCTCAAGGCACTTAATTATGACTGATAACCAATCACTTATGTGCACACATTTACAGACGTCATAATAAAACAGAGAACAAGAATACCAAACACTAACTAGTGTCTACAAATGTTTCTGGGTGAAGGATGATGTAAAGAACATAGACTAAATACAACCCAAAGACAAGAAATTTATCTTAATTTCATACAATATAGAAAGGGTAGTTGCATAGTGAATAATAGTTTAATCCAGTGGTTCTCAGCCTGTGGGTCCCCAGGTGTTTTGGCCTACAATTCCCAGAAATCCCAGCCAGTTTACCAGCTGTTAGGATTTCTGGGAGTTAAAGGCCAAAACATCTGGGGACCCACAGGTTGAGAACCACTGGTCTATAGGTTTTGGTGTTTTGCATTCTTTTGAGTTCAACTATCCTCATATAGACATTTATAGAACTTAGTTATAGTGATCTGTATAATGTTTTGAATTATTATGGTGTGTTCTTTTTTGTATTATTCAATAGTATATTATATCTGGCATCTTCAGATCCTCTGAAGATGTCAGCCACAGATGCAGACAAAACATCTCGAGAAAATGTTGCTAGAACATGGCCATACAGCCCAGAAACCACACATCACCCCAGTATATTATATGGTTGGTTGTCAGTCATAATTAGATGTCTTGAGACCTTGGTTAGGATAAGCAAGGTTCTGTGTATTTTTCATAGTGTTATTTATTATTCTATTCACTTTTTTGTTGTTTACTTGCTGCGGTTTTGAGATCCTCCTATGTTAAAACTAATACCCAAGACAGCAGTTGGTTCAGGTAGGATTTATTTACATTGTATCTGAAGCATGTCATTTTGTTGTGTTTGTAATCGCTCTTATGCTTTTAAATTTGGGGCAGTTTAAAGGCTAGATTTCTTTGCCTTTTTCTTCTTGGTATATGTTATTGGACTTTTGATTCTAATATGTGTTCTGCCAATTTTCTGTTGGATGTATTGAGTGTTTGGCTTAAAAACCACATACTGGTGCTTGTCGAGTAAACTGTCACTTCCCTCCAGTAATAGAAAATCCTTCCAGCCTGAAACATGAATTTGTGCCAGAATGTGAAATATGTTATGCCAATAATCTGCTGAATACTGAGCAAATTTCCATTATGTTTGTTAAAAATGACTCACAAAGGATAAACAGTAGGCATTTGCCCTATTTAGCCAATGTGGGAGAGGAGTAGTTCATACAGGAGACCATGCTTAATTCTAGAACATGTTTTACTGATTTTGATGGTAGCATGTATTTTAAACTCCCTGTTCATGGCTTTCTTGATCCTCACCTGATCAAGAGCAAACATATACCAGATGAGCCATTTTTCCAGTTTTGATTAAAATGTGGAATCATGTATTGAAGAACGACTCCATCCTCCATTCTGTTGATGCCCCAAATGTCCACTTTATGGAACTCTTAAATTTTGTAGGCCTGTTTCAAGATCCAATGAATTCCTTGTGTTTTTAGTATGCATTTCCCATTTTTCTGAACAACTGGAACTGTATTTTAAAATAGAAAAGCCCGAATGGTGAAAATCTATATTTGGCAGGTGGAACTTTTAACTTTTGGTTAAATTGATATTTGACTACAGTTTTTGAACATTATGTTTGGAATGCCTTCTTTACTAGAATGATTTAAGAAAACTCACAGCATTTGAACAATCTAAATGTTGTTGACATAGGAGTTCTCCACAGGGGAGAGGCATTTGGAAAGGATATGAAGGAAGAATGCACAATGTGTTCTGAAGATGCCGAAATTAGGATAATTGAGCCTCAAATCATGAGAGTTTTACTGAATCATCAAAATGGCCATTTTAAAAACCAGGCAGCATTTTAGTTTGCCAATTTTCTGACAGGGCTCTTGTGTTGATAAATATAGGGACTCACAGGGAATATAGGAATTCTTGTGTTGTTTCCATAAGATGTAGTTATTATGCCAAGGACAAGGTACAGTGACTGGAGAGAGGAAGGTATATGTGTACATATTCAGCCACATCCACACATCAGGACACTTTGAAACCGTTATCTTTTCAAAGTGCACACAATACATTGTGCACCAATTCTATCTTACAGAAAGAAAAACAAAAGGCAGAAGGAAGAGCAGGGAAACATAAGAAATTTACTAGTGGAAGATGTGTTTGTGAACCCTTTTCCTTTTATAACATCAGTTCTACTGCATGATGTGTACTTGTCCTCTCCACTTCAGCACCAGAAAATTTGTCTTTGGCAAGCAGAAGTGCATGGTCCCTGCTGCTTCTGCACATAATTTGTCTCCCAATTTCAAACCTGATTTGTGTGTGCAAAGGTAGAAGCCCAACATCCTTTTCTGTGTGTAATTTTTATTGTATTTGGCTGGAGTGCTACCTCCATTATTAAAAAATAGCTATCTTCTGTCAAAACATCCTTTTTTCAGGTTTTACTTATAATGCATGTGTGTGACATATTCCACACATACAAAGTGCCCAAAATTACCTTTACAATTTCAATTTATATACAATTGGTCTTTTAAAGATAATTTTCAGATACCCTTTGCATAAATGGAAACTCAATTGTGTGGAAGCCTACATTCAGGCAATTGTTAGCGAAAGCCTTTTCACAATTCATTGTTAAAAGCATTGTGAAAGCCTTTTCACAATGCTTGGACCTGGATGTCTGTTGTCAGTACTGGGTTCAAGGTTATCTCTTTGTTTTCCCATTCGTTGTGCAATATATACACACACACACACATATACATACATACATACATACATACATACATACATACATACAGGTTCTTGGTCGCAGTACATTTAAAGCAACAATTGCAACAATAGACTTAATGTGATTCTCCAGATGTTAAAATGCAACTAATACCATTCTAATTCATCATAGCTAATGACGAGTAATTGTGGGAATCAAGGAATTCATATCTATATATTGTACATCTGTGCCCTAGTTTATCAGAAAATATCCTGAAAATTCAGCACTCTGTCAAGCAGGGATACCCAATTGTCTTATTATAGCATAGAAACATGATTTAAAATAAAGTGAAAGATATGCAAAATAAAGTATTAAAAGGGTTGAGCATTTGTAACAACATTTGAATCAGACAACTTACTATTTACACACACGCACACACACATTATTTATATATAATAGGGGCCACGGTGGCGCAGCAGGTCAAACCGCTAAGCTGAAGAA